TAAAATTCATCCATTTAAAGAGATCAGATAACTATTATCAGTCTTCTTGTTTTTAAAAATGATTTTAAATAGTTTCTAAAAGCATATAATGTAATTCACTGTAAGTATGTTTTATTGTGTGAAATTTGATGGTAATCTAAATTTACTTATTTTTGGGAAGCCAGCTAATTTTCTCTATGACATTTGTTGAATAAACCATCATTCTCCACTGATTTGTGATACTGCCTTTTTTGGTGCAGTTTGCCTGCACTTAGCCACACACCCTAGTATACCCTACTGTGCTGATTATCTCTCTGTATGTAAGTGTGTATATATATGCATATATATACACATACATATTTTTTGTGTATGTATATTTTAATTTATATAATCAATCAGATATTAAATATATGTGTGTATAAAATATGTAAACACACACACACACACACACACACACACACACACACAGTTTTTGAGACAGAGTCTCACTCTGTCACCCAGGCTGGAATGCAGTGGCATTATCTCGGCTCACTGCAACCTCCACCTCCCAAGTTGAAGCAACTCTCTTGCCTCAGCCTCCCAAGTAGCTGGGATTACAGGCATGTGTCACCACACCTGGCTAGTTTTTTGTATTTTTAGTAGACTTTGGATTTCACTATATTGGCCATCCTGGTCTCAAACTTGTGATCTCAAGTGATCTCCCTGTTTCAGCCTCCCAAAGTGCTGGGATTACAGGCATGAGCAACTGTGCTTGGCCTCTCTGTGTATTTTGATCCAGTATTCTGCTGTTTAAATCACTGTGAGGCTACTGTATAATGGGATATTTCTCTTCCCCATTTTTTCTTTTGTTCAGCAGTAAGAGAAAAATTTCAGGTGAACTTTTCCAGATGAACAAAATGAGCCTAAGAAAGACTAAAAATTTGATTCAAGCCACACAGGAAGTAAGTGGCAGAGCGTAGATTAAGATGCAGATCTTTATTACTCTGGGATATATATATGTACTTTCTGCAAATAGCTAAGATCCAAGCATTTTGAGTTTTGACATCAAAGTCCTTCCTAATGGAGAGGCCTGAGACCTGAGGAGGACTTGGGAGAAAAGTGAGTCAGAGTCAGCAAGAAGTCTTGGGTGACATGTTTTGATTTTTTTAATCACCTCATTCACATCTAAGGATACATCTGCACATATGAGAAGGGTGTTCAGATGGAAGAAAAACCAAATTTACATGTATTGCCTTTTTCTCCAGATTCACACAGAATTAAAAACTTCTGAAAACATTCATTTCTCATTGTAAATGGAAATGCCCTGTTAGCAAAATGATTATTTCAGTTATTTTTTTGAGGTGTTTTTCCTCATGCTTTTAAAATGGTTTTAGCCATTCATATTTAACTGTTTCAGCATTAAAAGAATTCTTAATTTTTATTCCCTGGGCTCTGCTGATATACCATTAACCACTGATAATATCAATGTCCTGGGAAAGCATTGCTCTGCGTTTAGGGGAGAAAGGCTAGAAAATATATTATGTTGGGAGTACTTTTAGAAAGAAAAAAATTGTAAGACTGTAATTATTTTCTACCTAAATTTGTCCAATGTAGCTGTTCAAAAACTAGTATGTGCTAGTAACATTCTAGACAGAATACTGAGTGTTGTGCATGGATCAGCATTAATTAAGCCAAGCAGAATAATGCACCTAATTATAAGATATTAGTGGAATATATGGTACTTAAATATTTGCCTTGTGATGTTAGATAAACATAAAAGGAATATTTTCAGTATGTAGAGTATTCCTCAACTTCTCTTTTATTTTTCCTTTTCATATAGGTGAAGAGAAGAGCACTTTTACTTTTCATTAAGGGTACCTACATAAAATCCTTAGCAGTTTTTTTGAAAATTGTCTCCTTGTTTAAAAGTTTGTAAAATAGTTAAAGGAGAATCAATTACAATTTGGGTATTTGCATGTGTTTACAAATTCAATTTGTATGTGTTTAATTTTACTTTCTGAGGAAAAATAAGTTTTAGACACCTTCTTTCTTTTTTTGTGAGACAGACTTTTGCTCTGTTGGCGAGGCTGGAGTGCAATGGCAAGATCTCGGCTCACTGCAATCTCTACCTCCCCGGTTTAAGCGATTCTCCTACCTCAGCCTCCTGAGTAGCTGGGACTACAGGCGCTCACCAGCACACCCAACTAATTTTTGTATTTTTAGTAGAGACAGGGTTTCACCATGTTGGCCAGGATGGTCTCAAACTCCCTACCTCAGGTGATCTGCCTGCCTCGGCCTCCCAAAGTGCTAGGATTACAGGCATGAGCCGCCATGCCTGGCCAGTTTTAGACACTTTCTTCAGTGACTTTAAGATGGATGCTGTAAAACTAGTGAGCCCCAAGGTGAATGTGCCCAGCAGTGTGGCTCCTAAATGGAAAAGCTCAGGAACTGAAGGTGTTTGGTGGGGGGGGGGGTCGGGATGGGGGGAAGAATAGTTAGGGAAGCCATGATGACTGAATGCAAAAAGCCATGACATGAAAGGGTCAATGTTCCTCTTCTAATCCAGTTACTGGAATTGGCCCAGAGACGAATTTTACCTTTGTATGAAGAATTAGTGTTGTAAAAATAGAAAAGACTGCTTCAAAACAGTAATGCATTTACATTTACTATAGAAAATTTAGAAAATGTAGATAAAATAGGAATCACTCATAATTCTACCAGTTAGATATTACCACTATTAATATTTAGTGTAGATTTTTTCCCCCTTGGTACTGGCAAAGCATTAGGAGCACCTATCAAAGATATTAAATAATTTATACCAAAAAAAATGGTATGAGCTCCCCATCAAGAGAAGTATTCAGGCAGGATGTTTGAGATTCCTGTATTGGATGGAAGTTTGAACAATCTTTAAAGTGTGGTTTAGGCTGCCAGATTAATGATGAAAGAATGGCCATTCTGGGAAAGTCAAAGTGTCATTTGGGGATAAGATGAGATAGTATATAATGACAAGGCGTCTTCTCTATCCTTCTTTGTACCTTGGGCCTTTCCCCAAGGTTCAGTCAGCAGCACAGTGGCCTCAGTTCAGGGATGATACAGCAGAAAAGCAGAAGTGCTTTTAATTTTTACAAGGCAAGGCAGTTGAGTTGCAAAGGACTGTGCTTTTGAGTTTCAAAAGCCTAAGTGCCAAAGGCCTCAGAGCTGCAGCCAAAACACGGATCAGTAGATTGGAAGGTAGATGAAGACCCAGACTACTTTGCTGCCAGACTAGAGAAAGATTTTCTGGACTTGGGGTGAGAAGGTCAAGGAAAGGTGAGACTTTGATTAGGTCCCACGTAAGTGGCTCAGGCCCTGGTTCTTCCTACTCCCGTTCCCTGGGAGTGCAGGGTTTTAGAAGATTTGAGGATCCTGAGATCAGACAGACCCATATTCTTCTCGTTGGGGAAGACCTAGTTGTATGGCAGGATTCCAGAGCTGCCTACACCTAGTATGCCAGGAGTAGTTAAGTAGAAATTGTTGCCTTGTACATCCAGGCAGGGTGGCCAAAGATAGTTTCAGAGTATTCCATGAAAAGTGACAAAGATCCAGACCTGGGAATGGAAGTTGGGGAAGATGACTGCAAATAAAAAGGGAATGAGGACTAGCCTGCAGAGGTGGCAAGAGCTAGATACTTTCTCTGCTGCTAATCTGCTTTATTATGTTTCTCCAGCAGAATATAAATGCCTTAAGCACAAGGACTTTGTTTTTGCTTAGTGCTATATCCATAGACTAAGATTAGTGTTTGCTTCATGGTATTAAGTGCTCAATAAGTATTTGTTGAAATGCTCTATTAATGAATATCCTTTCTACCCCTCCACCAAATGCTTCGGCTCTACATAGCCTTCCAGAACTAACAACATCACCAGGAAAAATCTGGAAGACCGTCTTAATTGACCAAATTTAAGTTATTTGGAAGAATCACGTCTTGACAGAGAAATTAATTTTAATGTTGGCACAATCATTTCTTGCACACCTAAATTTCATATGTACAGTGAGGGGACAAGCAGGTGAAGGCAAAAATAAAAGGCGCAACTATTTGAGAATTTAAGGGCCTGTAATTGTTCAGTGTGTCTTTCCTTCCCATATACTATCTGATGATGAGTTTCCAACATGTACCTAATTTGAACAAAACTGGTGAGAGGAATTTAGAATAGAGAGTAATTTTTATCTGCTTTATACTGTGGTTGGATTGAAGCTAAAGATAATGATGCCATTTTTTTTTTTTGCCATCTAAAATTTGACCGTATAATTTTATTTTTGGTAAAATGCTTGATGCATCTGCAGAAATATAAACCCTTTCAAAATGTATATAATACTTTGCTTAAAGATAGAAAATAATTTATTTTGCATTTACACATATAAATTTATCATCTGTACTACGGTGAAGGAATGAATTGTGCCAGTTTCTGCATATGTCCCTGTAAATACGGATGCTGGGCTAACTCATGATTCTATCGTCCGGCACGTAGAACTGTGATCACCTGTTCTAAGAATTGCTACGTGAAATGCTTCATGTTTTAGGGACCACTATCAAGCATTATATTAAGCTTTATAACAGAGGCTCTTAGTCTCTAGGCTGTTAAGGGGTCATTGGTACCTCTGTCAATTTGATTATTATGGTAGTTGCTTTGGTTGCAGAGATGGGCCACTCAGATCTCCTTTCAAGGAAGGACCCCATGCATAGTTGCAGGGGTAGCTGATGGCTGCCAGCTGTCTTCTTTAGGGTTTGCCTCAATACCTATAAGCCTCCTTGCTCAAAGACGCTGACTGATCTGTCAACATATATTTTATTTATTAATTTATTTTATAGACAAGGCTTGCTCTGTTACCGAGGCTACAGTGCAGTGACACAATCATAGCTCATTGTAAGCTCAAATTCCTGGGGTTAAGCGATCTTCCCACCTCAACCTCCTGAGTAGCAGTAGCTAGGATTACAAGTGTGTGCCACCATGCCCAGCTTATTAAATTTTTTTTTTTTTGTAGAAATGGGGTTTCACTATGTTTCCCAGGCTGGGCTCAAATCCTGGCCTCCAGCGATCCTCCTACCTCAGCCTCCTGAAGTGCTGGGATTACAGGTGTGAGCCAGTGCTCTGGCCCCCACTGTCTGTCAATATAAAAGCTGGACCATTTCTGCCCACTCTGGGACAACTTTGACAGGCTGTGTGTGCCCCAGAGCTTCCTGTGGGTCTGGCTGAAGATTTCCTTAGTCTGCACTTCAGTTCAGCTTCTTCCTCTGCCTAATCCTATTGACACCTTTTTCCTTCCACAGGGATTAACCTTTAACAATGCCATGGATGCCAAACTGTTTTGGGGGCTCCTTCTGGTGAACCAAACCTATGATTAATGGTTCTATGAGTGGTCCCAGAAAGCCAGCAATAAGATGGGGATTTGGAACTGGGTCACTTGCAGCCTGACTGGCAATGAAGAATCCATCAATGGTGGCAGGTGGAATGCAGACGGGTCCTGGCACAAGGTGGTAGTCCGATTGTGAAAACTCACCCTGGTGGTGAATTAGGACATTAGATCTGTGGAGGAGACTAGCTGGCGTAATGTATGAGGAATTTAGAAATGATAGTGGGAGGTTGTGGCTAGTAACTCCAAGGTCAATGAAATTGAAGGGCTGTTGCTAAGCACCATTGATATTCTACAGAAAAGTTGTATGTGATTACAGGGGCCTTTACTCTGTAAATGAGGGTTGACTGTAGGAAAGTCTATTACAGAACTAGGCTCACTGATTGCAATGGGGATGCTGAGACACTGGTAATAGAAGCTGGGTGGTGGGGCTTAGTTGCTAAAAGCCAGGTAGGTGCAATTTTAATAACAAGTGGCAGGGCTGAGGGGCAGCCAATGGGGGCCGACTCACAGAATTATGAGATGGTCACCAGAACATAGCATCTTGTGGAGCAAAATAAATGGGCAGTCAGAGAACCGTTTATATTATTGTATTTGAGTGATATATCGAATCACTGATACATATATCTTCTAAGCTACTGCTGCTTTCTAGGCACGTGGAGCTTCTTGGGTTCAGGCACCAGCAGTCAAGGCAGAGTCACTATCTAGATAGGTACCATAGGGAGGAGGCAAGGTTGCTGTTGCACCGGGGGACAGGGTGACACCCAGACGATCCACACAGGGCTTCCAAGTTCTCTGTTGACCAATTACGATGGGTCATGAACAGGGCAGAAATTCTTGTCTGAGAAGACGTGGTACACAGGAGCTTGGATCCCTCATGGATGAAGGTCTGGGACGCTGCATCAGGGAAGCCACCATGACCAGCAGAGGCCATTGTTGAGGATGAGGGGAGTCTAGAATAGACAGCAGAAGATGGAGACAATGAGCTGGGCTGAGAAAGGCAAAAATAAAAGGCAGGCTCATTGTCTCCATCTTCCGCTACCTATCCTAGACTCCCCTCATCCTCAGACTACAGAGCTTGTAGTTCATCTTTCTAAAGCTTCCTCTTCAAAGGTCTCCTCAGGTAGAGAGGCCTCCTAGAGTCCTGGGGGAGCTGCTTCTCAAATGAACATGAAGAACATACTCGAATGCCACAAAGGGTGTGCTGTGGTGGACACTTGATGTGGTGGGCAGGTCTCTTTTTGAGGAAAGACTTGTTGCTCAGCTTCCAGGTGTCAAGTCTGCAGGCAGCTTCAGTGGTCAGCTCCTGCAGGGTTTGCCTCAGCTGACGAGAGCCGCCTCACCCCAAGAGACTCTTGGAGACAGCCCACAGCCAATGACTGTTGGCAGAGAGTGTATCAAGGCCAAGCCATCTTCATCCTCCCAGAGACAACTGTGATGGGCCTGGATGCCCCAGAGCTTCTGTGGGTAGCCAGGCTTTTGTGGGGTCCAGAGTCACAGTTTGACTTCTCTTTCTGCCCCATGCTGCTCCATCTTTACTTCTATTGATGTTAATAGGTAACTGGTGCCATAGTAAATCTAATCATGAGCAGCCATGGGCTCTGGGGAGTCAGAGAAGTTCCAATAGAAAGAGAGCTGGTTCATGAAAGAGAAAACCTGAAATCTAATCCTGAGCCTAGATCTGACCAGCCCTGTGTTCAAGCATCATTTCCTTCCTCTCTGAACTCATGCTTAATTATCAGCAAAACTGTGATAAAATCATCATACTGTTTCTGTATTGTACTTTATAACTTTATATTTTCCAAACCTGTTCTGGTCATTCTAGGGCAGAAATTCTCTATCCAGTCTGCATATTAATATCATCTGTCGAACATTCAAAACCATATTAACCTCGGGGACACATTCACATAGAATCTGTTGCAAATGGCTTGTAGTGAGGCCTGGGTACATTTTAAAAGCTCTACATGTGATTCTTTTCTAGCCGTGGGGGAAGAACCATTGCTATTGATCTGGAATCTCAAAATCTTAAGTGCTTGTTCTATAGATACTGACTGTGTGATCTTAGATGGGCCCTAGCAGTTCTCAGAGCCTCAGATTCCTCATTTAGAAAGTGAAGTTAATGGCAAAACTGACCTCATAGGTTGTTTTGAAGATGAAATTTATACATGTATTTGAAAACCCTTTGCAAACTATAGAAACATTATTATTATTATTATTATTATTATTATTTTGAGACTGAGTTTTGCTTTTTTTGCCCAGGCTGGAGTGCAATGGTGTGGTCCCGGCTCACTGCAACCTCTGCCTCCCAGGTTCAAGCATTTTTCCTGTCTCAGCCTCCCAAGTAGCTGGGATTAGAGGCATGCACCACCATGCCTGACTAATTTTTTTGTAGTTTTAGTAGAGATGGCGTTTCACCATATTGGCCAGGCTGGTCTCGAACTCCTGACCTCTGGTGATCTGCCCACCTTGGCCTCCCAAAGTGCTGGGATTACAGGTGTAAGCCACCACACCTGGCCAGAGACATTAATTTTTATTATATGTGATTACATTTTCTTCTGTCAATTGTTGTTTTATAAGCAAGGAAAGGGAGATTAGAACTTACTGGTTTTCCACTCTGGCTCAAGCTTTTAATAAAGGAAAGGAACTGTAGAGATTCTGATTTGGTAGTTCAGGGTTGAGACCCAGGACTCGGAGTTTCTAAAAAGCTTCACAGATGAGCCTGGTGTGCAGCCAGGGTTAGGGACTTCTTGGTTAATGATCTGTCCAAAGGTTACACAGTGCTAATAAAGTCAAAGAACAGGGACTCAACTCTCGCCCTTTCTATGCCTCTCTAGAGTTTTATCTACTATTATCCATGCTGAGTGCTCATTTGTGTACATACTTATCGTAACATTGTATGTTAATCATAAAATATAATAGAGATAAAAGGGAGTTTGAATTTAAAACATATAAATATAATGTTATGATTATTAAATGTTAAAATAATTACTCCTATCCCATTAACGCTAAATCATATGATTTGTATGCTTTTAGTAAGGGGTGAAACTCTGTAGGTAACACAAGCTATTTTTAAGATTATATGAACCGAGCATAAATTAAACAATGTGACACCAAGGCTGAAATAATGTAAGCAAGCAGTAAATGAAACATTTAAGGGAATTCAAAATAGAGTAATGAACTGTTACCTACTGTTCCCCTATCTTGAACATGCTGACTTAATGTGGCATCATGAAGGAAGAGAATGGAATAGAGAGAGAGAGAAGGATACACAGACAAATGAAGATCATTTTCGTGTGATCATGACCGGGCCATTCATATTTCTCATATAGCCTGAAAACAATTTCATACTTATTGGAAGAAGTGACCTTTAAATGTTCCTTACTTGCAAAAAGACAAATATTCTCAGAGCTGGGTGTTAGCTGGTGGACTCATCTGTCTTGCCCGCTCTTCGATTGGAGGCCACTGCAGGGAGAATGCAGACTGGAGGGAGCAAGTGTGGTGCTTATTCTTTACATTTCCAGACTTTAGGGTAAGCTCTCTTTGACAGCTCCCTGATTTCTTTAACACAGCAAATCTTTAATCAGTGTAGATATGTTGAAATGTGATTTTTTACAGTGAATTGACCTGAGTTGAGTACTTGAATTGTAATGTGTATTTCTTCCCCCCTCTCAAAAGCTGACTTGTAGGGGAAAAAAAAAATCAGATATTCTATGATATACTTTGCCTTAGTGACAAGATGTTTTGGGGGAAATCATCCAAGCTTGAAATAAAATCTTTATTGAAAGTAATTCTACATTCATGCCAGTCAGATACATTGTTGGATTAGACCAGATATCCCAGGGGAAAACTATGGTATATGCACGAGGCCGAGTTGATTATTTGGGTCTCCTGTCAAGTTTTTAACTTCCTGACAATGGCTGAAGCATTCACGGCCGCTACAACTCTGTTTTCATCTTTGTTTTGAGAGAGGGTTAATATACTTTACCTTAACTCTGCCAAATGTACTGGAAAATAACCTAGTAATAAGATATACCCCGCCTACCAAGTGGTATCTGTGTAGAGAGCATTAGCTGTGCATTTTAAGGAAATAAATACACGCAGCAAATGACTGAAAGATAATGTGATTATTTTTTCTGCTTGAACTTTAAAATTTTCTTGGCAAAGCCTCCTGTGTGCTGTCTTAAAACCAGTATGTATACATAACCATGGGGCCAAGTAAGTGGATTTCATTGCAAATTCCCTTCAAATGGCAGGGCAGCTTTTTTTTTTTTTTTTTTTTTTTTTATTAGAGTGATTTAGTTATCAATGTTACTTGATGTCAAAAAACAAAGACACAGGTGGGCCAGGTGACATTTCTTTCCGCATAGAGAATCAACGACAGCTTAGGATGTCACTTTTGCAAAGGTCATAGAATTACTTTTTGGACATAATTAACAGTGTAACCAAAGAAGAGAGAAAAAGGCATAATTTCAAATTTGGAATTATATTCTGATTCATTGTGAAGACAACATAGTGCTGTAGTTGCAGAGAAAAGAAAGACATGACCTCTGGTAGATGTTTGATAGTAACCAAGTAACCACATTTATTTGAAAATTCGCAACTTAATTTTGCAATTCTCATCTTTTGGTTCTATATTCTAAAATTAATTGCTCTCACATCACCAGAGAACAAAAGAAGGTGAAGTGGCCTTTGATTCAAGTTTAAGAACAGAAATGGGTGGAACGTGGTGGCTCACGCCTGTAATCCAAGCATTTTGGAGGCCAAGGCGGGAGGATCACCTGAGGTCGGGAGTTCAAGACCAGCCTGACCAACATGGTAAAACCCCACCTTAAAAAAAAAAAAGAAATGATAGTCTAGTATTGTGTTGCAGAAAATCGCAACATATTCCCTCAGACAAAGAAGTCTCAAGATAAAAGTATATGTGTTCTGAGAACCATATTTCCTACCTGAGAAATGTGTTGGTTAAAAACTTAAAACTTAAGTTTAAAAATTGTTTTTAAGTTCAGAAGGATCCTGGATGTCCTCTGATAGATGAATGGATAAACAGCGGTGGTATATCCATACAATGGAATAAAGTTTAGCAATAAAAAGAAATGAGCTATGAAACCTTAAAGGAACAAGGAAGAATCTTTTTTTTTTTTTTTTTTTTTGAGACGGAGTCTCTGACACCAGGCTGCAGTGTAGTGGCATGGTCTCGGCTCACTGCAACCTCCACCTCCTGGTTCAAGTTTTCCGCCTCAGCCTCCCATGTAGCTGGAACTACAAGTGTGCGCCACCATGCCTGGCTTATTTTTTGTATTTTTAGTAGAGATGGGGTTTCAGCTTATTCGTCAGCATGGTCTTGATCTCTTGATTTTGTGATCCGTCCACCTTGGCCTCCCAAAGGGCTGGGATTACAGGTGTGAGCCACTACACCTGGCGGGAAGAATCTTAAAATACATATCGCCAGGTGAAAGAGGCCAATCTAAAAATGGTGTATAATATATGATTCCAAGCACCTGACATTCTGGAAAAGACAAATCTTTGGAGACAGAAAAAGAACAGTGGTTGCAGAGGTTTTGGGGAGGGAGGGAGGAATGAACAGGTGTAACACAGGAGACTTTAAGGGCAGTGAAACTATTCTGACACTATAATGGTGGTTACATGTCATCATACACCGGTCAAAATCCATAGCATGTACAGTGCAAAGAGTGAAGCCTAAACTATGAACTTTAGTTAACAATAATGTCTCGATATTGGCTCACAAGTTACAACAAATACACCACATGAATACAAGATTTTACTGATAAGGGGACATTGTATCTGGTGGGTGGAGAGGAGGTATATGAGAAGATGAGTCTCTGATCAGTTTGGTTTTTTAAATTTTACTTTAGGTTTTGGGATACATGTGCTGAACATGCAGGTTTTACATAGGTGTACATGTGCCATAGTGGCTTGCTCTATCTATCAACTC